GAGGAAGCACTTCTTTACACAGCGTGTAGTCAGAGTATGGAATAGTCTTCCTGCTATTGTAGTGGAAGCTAAAACCCTGGGTTCCTTTAAATCAGAGCTAGATACGATTTTAACAACTCTGAGCTATTAGCTAAGTTCTCCCCAAACGAGCTTGATGGGCCGAATGGCCTCCTCTCGTTTGTAAATTTCTTATGTTATGTTCTTATGTTCTAAGATGTCACACTGTGATACAGTAGAAATGATTCCTCCAGCACACATTGAGCTACTCCAGCGTGCATATAGACAGTGAGGCGGAATTATGACGACCCTCTGAGCTTCGGAAGCGTGCAAACAGAGAACCTGATGGTTTTGTACGAATCCCAAACCCTGGACAGAGGGGCTCAGTGAATGAGGAGGTGACCCTGTACAGGGGGGTCAGTCCATCAGAGGAGACTTTGTAGAAGGACAGAGTACCAGCCTCCCAGTCTAGATACACTCCTACTCCGACAGGATTGCGGTCCCAACAGCCTATGTGTCTCCTTTTATTATTGTGCCGGAGATGGTAAATTGTAGGATCACAGCACAGACTCCATGACTTGTCATTGGCTCCAAGCGCACAGTCAGCACTGTCCCCATTCCTTACAATTCCTTCATAGGTCACTCCTATCCTGGGGTAAGCATCATTACACTCTCCTATACTGAGTTCCCAGTCCGTTCCAGTTCCACTCCACTCAACCTCCCAGTAACAGCGACCAGTCAGACTCTCTCTGCACAGAACCTGGCAGTAGCTGTCAGATCTCTTTTTCCCCGATCTCTCTTTCCCCGATGTCACCTTCCTGTTCCCCTCCGACAGTGTGAGGTCTCCGTATGCTGTGTTGGGGTCCAGTGTCAGGTGGCAGTAGTCTGTACAAAAGAGGAAGACCTGCTAGTCATTTTGTAGGTCTCTAGCAGTGCTCATCCTGTTCCTCCTTGCATAAAGGAGCAAATACCGGTCCTGCTGATAGGTTAAGGACCTTCTACTGCCCTGTCCAGCTCTCCTAAAGTAACTTCCTGTCTCCTGGAATCTCCTCCATGCACTTCAGACTGTGCTGGGAGACACAGCAAACCTTCTGGCTACCAGTAGTTATACTACTGGTAGCCAAATGCAAAACTAGTGGAAAAAACAGTCAGAAAAGATGAGAAAGGAAAAATGTCAGAGGCCTCCACCTGTTAAACCACTCCTGTTTTGGGGGTCGTCTCATTGTTGCCCCTCTAGTGTACCTGTTGTTAATTTCATTAACACCAAAGCAGCTGAAACTGATTAACAACCCCCTCTGCTATTTAACTGACCAGATCAATATCCCAGAAGTTTAATTGACTTGATGCTATACTCTGACTAAAAAGTGTTCCTTTAATTTTTTTGAGTGGTATATATAATGTGATCTATTTTGCACACCCATCATTGTTAATACGGTTCGTGAATGGGTTTGTTTTAAACAGTCAAAGGAAACCATCTGTATAGATCCTGCATTTACCCATCGACACCAGTAGTGTGGCATGTCTGCTATTTCCGCATTATGCTAAATAGATGCTTCAGTTGTCAGGCAGGAGCAGATTTTCACATGATGATGTACCATTGTCCAGCTTTCCCTTGAAAATTTGAAAACTGGGTTTAAGGGGTTTAAGAGGAAATAGCTGACTGTGGTATAAAGGTATCAACTGGGAATTAGGGGTCAAATATCTCCTCTTCAGCTTTAACCCGCAAAGGGGCCTTATTTTCTGGCAGGAAACTTTCTGACAGCTGTGACAGCGAAAATGACCAGTAACACCAGTGATGCCAATCTAGTCTGGGTTGGGAAAGTCCCCCACTATCCCTGGTAGAATATAATTTAGTACGATTAAACTGGGTGTTTTTCTCTTGCCATATGAAAACTTTAGCACATCTATTATATTCTTTTAAAAGTTGCGTAGGAAGGGTGAGAGGCAGCATATGACCTGGTCACTGAACACCACACAGCTGGTCTAGAAGGCTCAACAGCAGCTGTACTTCCTGGGGAGGCTCCAAGGGGTCATAATTCAAAGAAACTAGTTCTTTCACATCAAGACTGATTTGAATCCCTAAACATGTAAAACCTTCTTCTGTAATTGCGAATGACGTATCTACATTAGGCTGCAATCTCTCATTTTCATTCAAAAACATTAATGACGATTTGGAATTATTTTATACCCCGATATGTTTCCAAAGATTTCAATTAAATTCACTAATTGAGGAATACTATCTTTTAAGTTTGTTAAAAAAAGATGTAAATAATGATGTCATCTATATACAACGCTAATGTTCATAACCACCGATAGCTATGCCTGTGATGCCTTCATGAGCTGTTATGGCCATAGCCAAGGGCTCAATAGCCAACACAAATAGTAAAGGCGACAATGGGCACCCTTGTAAATTTGATCGTTGGAGAGTAAATGGTTTAGAGACATTATTATTGGTCAATATTTTGACAGTTGGGCTTGAGTACAAGAGCTTTATCCATCTCAGAAAATTCCCACCAATTCCATACTGTGGGAGCACATTAAAAAGGAAGCCCCACTCGATCCTATCAAAGGCCTGGTGCATGTCTAAGGACAATCTCACTTTGTAAGAGTGAGTTATTAAATAGCCATCGTATAGCTGTGACCCCGTAATCTAAGGTAGTCAGTACAACATCAACCTCTGCATGATCAGAGAGAATAATATTTCCAGTACAAACACTCTGAATATTGCTAACAAGGGCCTTAGAGATCAATATATAATCAATTCTGGAGTAAGAGGTATGTGGGTGGGAAACTAATGTAGAGTCTTTACTAATGTAGAGTCTTTTCCCAAAGGATGGAGTGTTTGCCAGATATCTATTAGACTGAGCTCCTCCAACACGGTATCAATGACTGTGTGCCAGTGGAGTGCCCCGTCTGTCAGAGGAGTGCCCCGTCTGTCAGAGGAGTGCCCCGTCTGTCAGTGGAGTGCCCCGTCTGTCAGAGGAGCGCCCCGTCTGTCAGAGGAGCGCCCCGTCTGTCAGAGGAGCGCCCCGTCTGTCAGAGGAGCGCCCCGTCTGTCAGTGGAGCGCCCCGTCTGTCAGTGGAG